GACGATATCTGTAATACCATCAAACATCCACATCTGCCTATCCCAGGTCCTGGGAAAGGACTCGATAGGTAGACAAAATGCCAAATCCAGTCTGAACATCTGGCTGACTGTGCGATGATCCATAATAATAATAATAATAATAATAATAATAATAATAATAATAATAATAATAATAATAATAATAATAATAATAATAGTAATAAAAAAAATCCACATCTGTCTATCCCATGTCCTGGGTAAGGACTCGATAGGTAGACAAAATGCCAAATCCAGTCTGAACATCTGGCTGATTGTGCGATGATCCATAATAATAATAATAATAAAGTTGGAAGGGACCTTGGAGGTCATCTAGTCTAACCCACTGCTTAGGCAGGAAACCCTATACCAGTGGTGGCAAACCTATGGCATGCGTGCCAGAGGCGGCACTCAGACCTTTCTCTGTGGGCACGCGCACCATGCCCACAGAGATGGCAACTGTCCCTCTTCAACCAGCCGCCCGCTAACTCGCCGAGGTCCCACGTGGCTGGATGCATCCCAGCACCCATGCGTTCGATGGCCTCTGTGTGCGGGGGCCGATGGTGTCAGGCAGCAGCCACCCCAGCCCCTGCCTCGCCTTGGCCTGTGACATGGCACCCCACCCTACCTCGCGTGCCTCGCCTCTCCCCGCAGGACGAGCCTCCTGCCCACTGCCCCACCTGCCAGAGACCCCCTGGATCTCCCCCAACCCTGCCTGGCCCCCACAGGCATCCCTCCCCACGAGCAACATTGAGGTGATCACGCCCACCTTGGCCACACCCACCCAGTGGGCCATGACTACCACAGCCATGCCCATCCAGTGGGCCACGCCCACCTGGCAGCCGGCGATAAATAAGTAGGTTTGGGGTTGCAGTTTGGGCACTCGGTCTCTAAAAGGATCGCCATCACTGCCCTATACCATTTCGAACAAGCAGCTGTCCAGTATCTTCTTAAAAACCTCTAGTGTTGGAGCATTCATCGCTTCTGGAGGCAGGTTGTTCCACTGGTTAATTGTTCTAACTGTCAGGAAGTTTCTCCTTAGTTCTAGGTTGCTTCTCTCCTTGATTAGTTTTCATCCGTTGCTTCTTGTCCTGCCTGTGGATATAATTTACTTCGACTTCAGTAAGGCATTTGATAAAGTAGATCACAACCTACTACTTGACAAGATAGTAAAATGTGGGGTAGACAGCACCACCACCAGATGGATCCGTAGCTGGCTGACCAGCCGTACTCAGCATGTGGTCCTCAATGGAACCGCATCTACATGGAGGGAAGTGTGTAGTGGGGTGCCCAGGGCTCTGTTCTGGGCCCAGTGCTCTTCAACATCTTTATCAACAATTTAGACGAGGGGATAGATGGGGAACTCATCAAATTTGCAAACGACACCAAGCTGGCAGGAATAGCCAACACTCCAGAAGACAGGCTTAAGATACAGAAGGATCTGGACAGACTTGAACACTGGACGCTATCTAACAAAATGAAATTCAATGGTGAAAAAAGCAAGGTTCTACATTTAGGCAAGAAAAACCAAATACACAGGTATAGTATAGAGAGTACCTTGCTCAATAGTAGTAACTGTGAGAGGGACCTCGGAGTCCTAGTGGACAATCATTTAAATATGAGCCAGCAGTGTGCTGCAGCTGCCAAAAGGGCCAACACAGTGCTAGGCTGCATTAACAGAGGGATAGAATCAAGATCACATGAAGTGTTAATACTACTTTACAAGGCCTTGGTAAGGCCACACTTGGAATACTGCATCCAGTTTTGGTCACCGCAATGTAAAAAAAGATGTTGAGACTCTAGAAAGAGTACAGAGAAGAGCAACAAAGATGATTAGGGGACTGGAGGCTAAAGCATATAAGGAACGGTTGCTGGAATTGGGTATGTCTAGTTTAATGAAGAGAAGAACGAGGGGGGACATGATAGCAGTGTTCCAATATCTCAGGGGCTGCCACAAAGAAGAGGGTGTCAAGCTATTTTCCAAGGCGCCTGAAGGCAGGACAAGAAGCAACGGGTGGAAACTAAGCAAGGAGAGAAGCAACCTAGAACTAAGGAGAAACTTCCTGACAGTGAGAACAATTAACCAGTGGAACAACCTGCCTCCAGAAGCGGTGAATGCTCCAACACTGGAGATTTTTAAGAAGAGACTGGACAGCCATTTGTCTGAAATGGTATAGGGTTTCCTGCCTGAGTAGGGGGTTGGACTAGATGACCTCCAAGGTCCCTTCCAACTTTATTATTATTATTATTATTATTATTATTATTATTACTACTACTACTACTACTACTACTACTACTACTACTATTATTATTATGGTCAGGTGATTCGACCAATTGTGACGGCGGCAGGCTAATCAAACCCATGGCCGCTGCCTGGCATCTGCAACACACCTGAGTCCCCGAGGTCGTGTGAGACTCACAGGGAGGTGCAGGGTGATTTAGCCTCGTCTAAGTCACCACAAACTTCTGAGGCGTTGTCCACCAAATAGGAACTGTTGGCGGACTTGTTCCCTGGACTATGGAAGGTGCCTTGTTCAGGAAACGGGCACCAATCAACCCAACAGGGTTGTGCTGGACAGCACCGGTCTACCCGACCGGAACATTCAGAGAAATACCAGTCTACCTGAGGCGAGCGGCCCTGGTCTAGCCAGCTCATCAAAAGGGCTTGTAGACCAGGGGCCTCCAACGGCGCTCCGACAATTGGAGCGGGCACGGAACCCGCCTGCCTACTTACAAGACTATATTCATTATTGTGATATGTGATTACCTAGGGGGAAGGGGTGTTGTGTACTCACCTAATTTATAAGGGCAGTTATCAGCTGTTAACTTAATGTGTTAATTCAAAATCCCGAACCATTTGTGTATTGTTACAAGCCTGCACTTTAGGCGACAATTAGTACTTTAAATTCATTGGCTGCCGCCAAGCGGCTGTTAGAGCTGCTTCTGTGTTGATTGAATAAAGAACTGTTGCTTTAACTCTTTAGTCTGATCAATGCCTCACCGATCCCAGTATTTAACAGATATCATGGTCAATGATACAGTACTGAAAGCTGATGAGAGGTCTAGGAGGAACATGACGGCTGTACCCCGTCTATCCCGAGGCCTCCAAACGTCCATGAGAGTTACAACCAATGCCATTTTGGTGATGTGTCCCGGTCTGAACCCAGACTGAGAAGGGCCCAGGTGTCTTTCTCCTGCACAGCCCTTTCTGCGGGTGGCAAACTCAGAGCTGCAAGCAGAGAGCGAGTTGAAGTTCCAGGCTGCCAACCTCTCATTCTCCTACTTAGATGCACTGAGAAAAGGTCTTAATCTGCAGCAATGCCTTGAACTCCTCTGCCAGGAAAACCTCTCATGATTTTCTTATGCACAGCAAACTGTTGTTGAAGGTATGAAGCTGGCCAGGATGCCAACTGTCCAGAAGGGGGGAAATGACTCTTCCAGCCTTCTCCTGAGCTTGGAATAGAAATATAGGTAGTTCTCAGGTTGTGACAGCAATTCGAGCCCAAATTTCCATTGCTTAGCAGGGATGGGGCACCAGTAGGAAATATGGTGCTTGATAGCTAAAGATGGAAGTAAAGGAAAATAAAATCACAGACGAGACAAGGGGTCAAGATTCAATTTTACAGCTTTGCTAAGTTGCAGAGGCAGGTTTCAAGGAGT